CCCCAAAACCCCAAAACCCCAAAACCCCAATTTAAAAATATTTCACTTTAGCATGGTTATTAAATATTTAATTAAAATGATGTTAATAAAAATGATAATCTTGAAATGCATCTCTCATTTCATTTACATCAAAACCTTTAACTCATATCAAAATAATTTTTATTTGCGTTATTAATCCTTAATTTAATTTTCTTGCTATCAAACAGCTAATTTCCTTTATACTTAGCCTTATTAAAATTCTCTTTTTTAGGATGATTACTTTCCCAAAACTGGTTTTGATCTTAAAATATCGATTATAGTCTAGTTTTATTCGAACTTTTAATAGAACTTATGCTATCAGATTGAATTTAAGAGGTCACTTCTACATCTGCAAACTTTACTCTTGGACTATAAAAACTTTATGATAATCTCCGACCTTGATTAGCTGTATTAGGTCTAATTCTAAATTATTTATTTTAATTTCCTTTAATTATATTTATAACTTATTCTTAGAACTTGTCGAATTCTTAAGATATCAAGTTTTTAGTTTCCTATCTTATTTAATCAGATAGATCATTTTTATCTGCCACTATTCTAATAATTTCCTAGATAATATCAGTTTAACTATCTGTATTTTAAAAAGTTTTTTTTAAAGCTGGTTTTAATTCATTAGAGTCTTTTTTAGGGGAATTTTATTGTGATTTAGCCTTTACTTTATCAGGTTTTTTCTGATGATGATTATTTGGGTTTGGAGATTTGATATTTTCTGAATCTTGAATACAAGATGCGAAATTTAGAATCTAAATGCTTTTATCAACAGAGTCTTCGCTTGGACTCATTGTGCAAATTATAGTTGCTAAATCAGATTAACCAAGCGCTGATCTTAAGTAGAAGGCCTCTCTATTACTTAAATAATAGCTATCAGCTGTATTTTAATCAAGTATTTTCCTAACAATTTCATCTAAGGGAAAATTTAATTAAGTATTCTCATTTATTTAAGGATCTGAATTAGCAAGATCTAAAAATGTTAAAACTGATTTTTGTTTGTATCCAAAAATATTCTTAGCTTTTTAGTAATTTTCTATTGTCAACCTGTAAATAAAATGAGATCTAGCTATGTGCTCATGAACATTCTTTTTTCCTATGTGCCAATTCTTTTAACTCTTAATCAGAAGTTTTTTAAAATCTTCTTTTGTATTTATTTAAATTTTGACAAAAGTGCTAAAATCTACATTAAGGATTTATTAACCATTTTCTATCAGCTCATTTTTTGTATCTTTACTAAGTAGATCCTTGCATTAATTTTGGTTGATTTCAATACAGCTTGCATAAAGAGAAATAAGTCTCTGATTGTTTTAATCTTAAGCTATGTTTATTATATCTTAAATTGCTTAGTAAATTACTCCTTCTTAATATCTAGTACCAATCATTGTATGGGTTTTCCCTGATAATTTTGCCCCATATGTGATAATAGTCCCTAAATATTTAATAAGTAGAAAATTACCATTTTGACCTTAAATTATTTTTTGAATAATAGGCTTGCAAGATTCGTTATAAACATCACTATTTGAAGAACTTTAGAGATAAAGCTTGCTGAAAGGAAATTGTTTTTAAGAAAGCTATAAGGTAACATATGGTGAAGACTAAAACATTTATTAAATGTGTTAATATATCTTACTTAAGATTCTGTATCAACTGTAGACTGATTCAATTAAAACTAATTTTGGTTGTAATTTGGTTTTAATTCTCCTTATTCAAGGTAAGGATCAAGTTTTATCAATTTTAAATACTAAAGATGATCTTATGCTCTATAAAACTTACATATAGAAGACTATTGTTTTCATCGACTTTCCAGTTACCAGGTCTTTCTTCTTGAAAAAGGGGTCTCATTCTTATAGCCACACTGATAGTTTGTGATTTTTCCTCAGATTCTTTCTAGGGTCTCATTTTTAATAAATATTTATAATATAATTCAATTAATCGTATTTAATAATAAGATTGATTGTTTTTTGTATTTTTTCATAATCTTATTTCAATATTGAAATATTCCTTGATTAAAACTAACATTCCACTCGCAAATTTTACTTCTTCTCACAGTTTTAAATACAAATATTCATTTGAGGGGTTTTGGGG